TATATATATATATATATTTTGATATCAAATTCATGTTTGCTTTGTTTTTATTAAAAATCAACAGATATTTTTATCCTTTCAGATTAATAGAGGTAAAAATTTTTAAATAATTTTATTTTACTCGAACTATAAAATATAAACATTGCACCAAAGATAAAAATAGAAATACACCTATCAAATATTTAATATGTCTGCAGTGTACGATCTATATTATGGCATATAAAAATAAAGTAGTCAATACAATAAAATTTAAAGAGCGAATATTATTAATCTACTAGGAAATAAAATTAATAAAAAATTGTTAAACTATAACAAATTGAAAAAATAAAAAATATGTATATTTATATAACACTATCTATCAAAGCCCTTTATAAATAATTTATTTATATATTTGTATATTATAAATGAGATGAAAATCAAATATTTAATCTGCATTTATAGTAGAATAAAACCATAAAAGTAGATCATTTTTATCTGAGTGTAGAAAGAAGTTTCATTGTCTACAAAGTTGGAAGCAATTTTCTATTTACACAATGATACCGAAAAAAAAAAAGAACATTAAAATTTAAAGTTAATATTTATCATTTTCCTTTTGTGATCATGTATTTATTTTCAATCATATTTCTATAAAGACCAAGACTGATAATTCTAAATGATAAGCACTCACAACTAAACTCTTGATTTTATGTGTCACAACATGACTCACAATGCAAGTAAAGTGACTGGTTAATTAAATTGCAGCAATTGATATAAAAGCAGGATTTTCTAGCACCTGTACATGTGATTATTTATTATAAGATTTACCTTTCATCAGTGTCATCTGATAATGTGCATCATAGAAGAACACACCATATTTTTTTTAAATATTATTTCGGCAAATAAATAATAAAGGTAAAAATAAAGATCACGTGCACAAAATGGATTTAGAGAGAATAAAAAAAATTTACGTGTAATTTTTAATTTATTTTTTGGATATTGCAAATCCACGTGATAAGAATTCATAAGATAATAGCAATGCCGGGGAAGCGTTCTGCCATCTTGGCACATAGCACGCTGCAAAAATCAATGTACTATGACTTTTAGCATGCGCGATAGTGATATTCAATGTTAATATTTTTATAATTAACATTGAATATCATTATCTAAACATAGCATTTTAAAGAAAATTGATTTTTCTTTTTCCACAACTTTTAAATTAAACAAATAATTAAATAACTTTAACATATACTTTCATGGTCAATTGCTTGATGTACTTTTTAGGTATCCCGGAGAATTATATTCAAAGGACTCTAAAGAATTCCTATTATTATTGTACACACAATATAAACTCTGATATAAATAACTCAACCCATAAAAATATTAGTTTCCCTCTTTCATTTTTTTAATTAAAATCTTTGTATGCTAGCCAGTCTTGTAACATTCCAACTAACTGTTTCATCTGTTAATTATCTTTCATGTTATTAAAAGTACAAAATATTGTATTCAATTAAAAATACAAAAAAAAAAAAAAAAAACATTAATATCAACAGTTATTTCAAATTAATGACACCTAAAAAATGAAAATTCGTTTGCAATTATAACGAAAATTGTTGCTTTGTTTTCTTCTTTTCTAATTAAAGATAGGTAACAAATTTTACCACGTAAATGACTCATTTTTAAATGTCTGCGATGACTTCTATTATACTACTTTACGTGAAAAGTATTTGTTAGCAATGAGATATATTATATGGATAGGTTTTTTTTGAGGATACTTTTGCTGGTCGCCGACAACGTCGATAAGAAGAATGGTGTGCTTTTATTCTCTCGTGAGCTTTTGGTATCTTTTATACCGACGGTGCATTCGTATATCTTATATCAGTGAGTGATAAATAGCGAGTGATAAGACTCAAAAAAAGTCAATTTGTATAGCTTATTCGAAGAATTTCATGGCTCTGTAAAGTCGATAACTAATGGTCTTAGTAAAAATATTGAATAAGGTAAAGTACCCAGTAGTTGAACAGGTTTCAAAGTAAAACGTATTTGACCCTACTTTTAATAAATAAAGATGTAATTATTAGTTAAAATTAGTGATTTTCATGAAAATATAAACAATTTTGAATTGATTGAAATGCAAAATAACGCAAATAATTGAATATTTATAATTTGACAACGTTTTTAAGATAGACTATGAAAGGAGTAGTAGTTAAACAATCAATTCTGATAAGCCGCAGTAGTTGAACACTCCGGGAGCAGTACAATTTTTAACGTTTTATTGAAATATTTAAAGATTTATAACATATTATTGAATAATATTAAAAATAACAATGTGGATATTTAATATGTTCATTTAAAAATGAGAAACATTTGTATTTGATTTTTTAATTACATTTTTTATGAATGACAAAGTAAATTTTCAATTATAAATCAAAAAAACTCAATTCAAAACGTTCAATAATTTTTAACTATACTAATTTTTAGTTATAAAACTTATTTAATTTGCAGTAATTAATACAAATCACAATACTGATCACTAGTCTATAAACCTATTGAAAATTAGAGTGCTATTGAAAATTGGGAGGTATAGTTGAACGCCAAAATTTAATATAAAAATTATAGTTTATGTCTTTGCAAAAAATATGTATTATTTAGAAAAGACTATTTCATTGGGTGGTACAATTTTTTTTACTTAAAATGATGATATACCGTTTTTTTTTTACTGATTGTTCGATTTACGGTTCAGTACCTTTTTCATGAAAAAGATAGCATCTATCGGTTATTCTCAACATGTCAACTTTAAAGTTAACAAAAATGTAATTGTTTTGATTTATAATTGAAAAAACTTACCAAAATCAATTACTATATCATTGAATAATTATAACATGCGCATATTACTCATAATATATGTACAGATTTTGTATTATTACAATTCTAAAAGTTTGTTCAACTACTGGTCCCATTTTTAGAAGTGTTCAAGTACTGGGTACTTTACCTTAAATCCTTTTTAGTAAAAAAGCTTCGTTAAATCTGGTTTGCTTATCTATTCAATGTTTTTATTTTAACAAAAAATTTCAGTTTGAGATTTGTATAAAGTCAATTATCAAATATGTTCAATATAATGAAATCAATCTTGTAAGCACTGTTTATTCGTAGTTTCTTATTTGTACTAAAAAGGTCAACAATGTTAAATAATAAACACATTGTATTATCGAATAATGACCTTTAGAAGATAAGTGATGTGTAATCTAGACTGGATATCCTGTATCTCCATATAAATAGTTCATATGCTCCATTAGATTGCCTTTAATACTAGAGTATTAAACGGGCATAATTTATAAGATAACTTATCATGATGGATATTCATTTTCTCGCTAAGTTTATAAATTTATTATATCAACACAGGACATAAATTTCATGCTTTCGATTATCACACTTTTTGAAGAATTATTGACTTTGTTTTTCGATTAAAAAATTGGAATTATGTTGAATTAGTTATAAAATCTGATGGGAAATAATTAAAAACAAAATGAATTTTAATGAAAATTTGAACAATGAAATAATAGCAAAAAATATTTTCTAAATGTTATTGAAAAGATATAAAAATTTATGAAGCTTAAAGCTGGCAAAAAATTATTAAATTACCAAACTATAAATATGCTTAGAAGGATTAAAAGTAAATTTGACAAAAAAGAGCTCTTAAACCTTATAAAAAAATTCATAATAAATAATATAAAGCTCAAGAGAGGATTGTATCGTCTCGGAGTTGAAACGAAAGAAAATGAAGCAGAAGAAGAATTGGATGGATCACGACTTCAAACGATAGTAGTATAGAGGTTGACTGCCCGGAAGCAAAGACACTGGCATCATCTGAAGTCTTCTATAATATCATCTTTTATTGTATCACCTGTGTTGAGGTATTGAGTTTTAATGTCTGAGGCCAGTCGAAGCAAGAGAATAGAAAATTGATTACGCGTGTTTTAATTCAACTGTCAATTTAAATAAACAAATATTATTTTGACAGCGCTTAAAAACACATGCAGAAAAATGAGAGCATTCAACAATGATACTTTTTGTGTTGATACGGGAAGCTGTGAATGCGAATCGAAAAAAACTACATACTTTTAAATAGAATTGCACAAAAATTTCATAATAGTACCAATTAAGTTGTGTGCTTTTACCAAACATTTTTGATTTATCTTTTTCAGGAATATTCCATAGAAATTTTGTGATATTACTGAACCTCGTTATTCATTAGTTTTCTTTCCAAACTTTTTTTGTCTGAATTAGTTCAGAAATATTACTAAAAATTCGTTGTTATTTTATCAAAAATTTTTTGGCTTGACTCGCTTAGTGAAATTACTTTAACTAATTTGTGCTTAAATCAAGACGATCAAACTCTTCAAGATTATTTTCTTGGTTAAAAAATTTGTATCTTGAATCAAGTCAAATTTTTTTCACTGTACTGTATACAATTTTACTTGCATTTATTTACTTACATTAGAGAAAATTTAAATTTTAATGCTTCTAAATTTATTAAATAATTTTAATTGAAATTTATTTAATTTCTTATAAACCTCAAACTAATTAATCAAATGGACAATTGATAAATACACTATTGACTTTGAATAGTTTTGTTTCAACTATTTCTAATAGTCATTTAAACTCGAAGTTTCAACATAATACAATTTATTTTTAAAATATATAGCGTGAGAAAATCGAGAGGCATTTTCATTCCTATTCTCCTTAAAACTCTAAAAATTCTTTGTAAAACAAAAAATACGATTTACCCTCTAAAATATTAAACCAGAAATACGACACGAAATAGAACACGATTTGCACTTGAGTAGTTAATTAATAACACACACATTCATTTATCCTATTTCATCATTTGTCACACAATATGCTTTTTTTTTAATAAATCTTTCTTCTCATATCACGATATAATATTTATGAAAAGATATTCAAGTATGGATTTGTAAATTTTGAATATTTCTTCAATACTAAAAAAATAATCCCTAAATAACTTAAAAACAACATAACTAATTAACTATGAAAATACAATCAGATGTTTCTCATTCCGTTTCGTGATTTTCAACATCTACCACTTATCCATAAAACAACAGAACAACTTCTATACTTGAATATTAGGTTAATAATAGAAATTATTATTCAAACAATAATTAATACTAAGTAATGAGTTCAAAAGGTATGAAAGTTTAACTATAATCATAAATCTAATTTACCGATGTGCTGTTTTAATCTGTGCTTAATAATGCATGCTACGAACAGGAGATCGTAGAATAAATATTATTGCTATAATACAAGTAAATCTGGGATAGTAAATTATTACTTTTTTACTTTATAATAAGTAAGCAGAAGGAAAAATTGTTTTGAAAATTTTTCATCTTTTTTTTTAATCTAAATATTTGAAGCTCGTTAATAATTGCAGGATTATTGTTGCAGTGTGTATTATAAATCGTTTTAATTGAACAATAGAACCAACAACAGAAACCAACAATAGGATTACTCGATCTAGCGACTACAAATATATTCATATATAAATATAAGGCGGCAAGCATTATACAATAAACACACAAAATAAGGTAATAATCTGGCTTAAAATTATAACAATCAATGTGGATGATAATACTATAAATGAGAGTATTATGATGAGAAGTTTGCCATGAAAATTATTTTTATGGGCAGAAACAATATTTAATTTTCATTCGTCACATAATTACCGTACAGTATATATTCTGTAATTTTAAGCGCTATATAACGATGTAACCAACATTGATACCATGACAAAAAATAATTATCACATCGTGATATTGCACGGTAATTATATTTATGTTCTATGTATTACATACGTACAACGTACGTGAAAATTAATTAACAAAAATGTAAATAAAATTTTTCACAGTTTGATATTGACATAAGCATATAAAACAGGCGAAAATAAATGCCGACATTGACGTATAGTTGCTGTTCTAACAAAAATATTGTTACGGCATGTTCACATGCAATAGCCTGAAGGTAGATTAATTTTCGTTTATATTTTTAATTTATCAGAGTTTAAAAAACACAACACAGAAATATACAACTTACTTTGTCTTCAGCTTCATCCGCTCTTCCTTCTGCGTCAAGAACTCGTTGTTCAAGTTCCGAAAGCTGTAACATAATTATAAATTTTTTCATTAATTAACGCTTATAAATGGGAATACTTTAAAAATTAAAAAAACCGACGATTAATATTTTATTTAAGAAATGTAGATTAAAAAGAATGGTTAAGTGAGCATTAAATTCCAGCAACAACCAAACCATTCTATGTTCTATACTTAGATAATTAACAGAAAATAATTATTGAGGTAGAAGTTGAGTAGAAAGGGCAATTAAATTTTAGTTAATCAGTTATTAAATGGATTTGCTTCACTTTTCTCTTCCTCCGGCAATCATGGCTTGAATTGTAAATGGTCAAATTGCCTTCTAATGTGATTACAAGCAATCTGCGTATGAAATCAATTCTCTGCTATATTTGGTCCATACACATACTTAGTATGTACTACACGATTCTCTTTGTCTATCAAATAATTGTTTTAACATATAGTAACAAAAAAATTCAATAATAATAAACATGAATAAAATTAATATTTAAATTCATAATATTTACCTAGAACAAAATAAAACAATAGGAACTCTAGCTTTTTTCTTTTTTTTCTGCAGCAATTATTGCTGGCCAACATATATATTACGGCCATTTGGACAAATGCCAGTAAAGAAAAAAAAAAAAAAAACAATATTACAAGTAAAAGTAAGCCGCACTTTGGAGAGTGTCTCTATATACCTACAATCTACGACGTTAGCTAAAAATAAGATTTACTGATGTTGAAAACGTTTATATCAAAAAGTGACTTTTTTAATGCTTGATATATGGGATTTTTGTATAAATCTGGAAAACTCAAATAGATTTAGTTCAAAGATAAAGAAAAAAGTCCTGTTTTATTTTGCGTTAATAATTTATGTGTTTCAATGTATCAGCTAATGTTAACTTAAAGAGACTCTAGTTGAATAATTGACTTACTTACTTCAAATTTACTAAAATATAATGGACAGATTAAATTTATCAGTACTTTTAGCAAACTTTTTAGAATTAAAATTGAAAAAAAAAGGTAGCAAGAGTCTTGGAATGATTTAAAATTTAATTATTCCTTTTTTGTTTTGTCAGTAAGAATTTTTTAATCATTTTATCGTTTAATATTACTTTGGTCCATTATAAGTAAGAATTTCCTTTTTAACAACCAATAAGTCGTTGAATAATTTTGACTTCAGTCTATTAAGTTTTATTAAAAAATATAAAATAGGGACATTAATTAAATTGCTTATAAAACTGAATCTAATCTACCTGTGATAACTAAATTTCTCGGTAGTATTAGAATGTCATGTCTAGAGACTACTTGATGGTACATTGTACCGAAAATGGCTGCATTTACTAGCCATAAATAGGGAGATAGTCCACCGGGTGTTAGATCGAGTGGCACTAGCGAGCGAGCCATGTATACGGGGTAATTAATTAAAAGGGAGGTTAATCCGTGGGTCGCGACACGGACTCTGAGTGCAATTCACGCGGTCCCTGGGTCAATCATGATACATGCGAATAGCAACGAGCTGGAACACGTCTCGGCTCGAGTGAAACATTATATTGTTACTGCTTGAGAAATTACGTTACATTTTACATTTTAAACAACCTTTAATCTTCAAGAATATCTGACCGTTAACCTTTGCTTTACAATAAAAAGCTAAAAAAGGCGTCTGAAAAACTATGTATCTAGTTGATAGTTACCTCTTATCAGGTATAAATCTTAATGAATATTTTCAATTACGGCAAGTAAAGGGCTAAGTTAGTTGTTTTTTTTTCTTTTCTTTCCTTCAAAGTTTTTATCACAGTAAAGTAGTTTAGACAATTGAAATAGTTTAGAATGTGGAAACAAATGTTATTGATAATTTATATTTTAAATATACTAACTAGATTAGTCATCAATATAACAAGGGGAATTCAATTTTTTTATCACGATTATGAACTTTGAAATGTAGTCGGCGAAATCTAAAATAAAATTTCACCCTTAGTCAATAAAAATTCAATTACTCAGCTAATTTGATTTTGAACCTGTCGATAATACCTTTCACACCGTCATAAAAAGTACTGGAGCAAAATGATATACTTTGAGTAATTATTAATAAAAGTTATCATAGTAATTTGAATAAGAGCTGATGAAAAAAAATTAACTTGATTTAAGAGAATAATTCTTGATCCAAGAAAATCATTTTAAAGAATTTAATCAGCTTGATTGAAGTATAAAAATTTTCGAATTAAGAAATTTTTCTTGACTTAGTAATATTATTAGCTTACTTGCCTTAATAATATTAAATTATAATTTAAGCTAATTTTACTTGATTCAAAAATTTTTCTCTCGAATAGAGCTAATTTTCTTCCAGTAAAATAAAATGGAACTTTGTGGGTGAAAGATAGATCATCTTATTGAAAAATAGTAAAGTGCTTTGTTTGAGCGCAAAATTCCTGCACAGTAAAAAATTTTTCGTCAAATTTAACACAAAAATTTGTGTTGATGACTTTTTTTACACAATCTGTGTTGAATCAACACTCTATTGTGTCGAATCAACATACTAAAATGTTAAATTCTACAAACATTTTTACACTTTACACAATGACGAAAAATTTTTTACTGTGTGAATGGAGAACTTTCTACCCTTGATCCAAGTTTTTTATTTTCTTGATCAAGTGAATTTTCGTCAATTAAAAAAAATGAATATCTTGAAACAAGATTTAAATGTTGAAGAGAATAATTTTTTATTTAGAAAACTTTTCTACTTGATTCATGATAGTTTAACTCGTGAAAATGATGTTATTAGTTCAAGATTTTAATTCTTGAATCAAGTTAATTTTTCTTTCAGTGTATTTATATTGGACTCTGTTATGTAATAGTATGTTAAGTACATAGGATTTCCATAGCACAACACATTAATGCATAACAGTGTCCATATATCATTTGATAATTTTGTTAATTTTGTTATGCTAGTATTAATTGCGATTGGTACAATATTATTTAACAGTATTATTTAAAAAGAAAAAATATTTATTTTTTCGATATAAACCTGCGAAAGTTTATGATTTACTTATCCCTCACCCAAGAGACTAAAATTAAGTAAAATTAGAAATGGTTTTATATGATGAGTTACTTTACTTTGCCTAAAAAGAGAGATAGTGAGGACTTGAGCTTAAATCCTTCAATCCCCCGAGACTCATACATTAATTATAATGGAGAGTAGTTCTCTAGCGTCCTCTTGCGGTTAGGAGGATGTTCCCGTGGGAAAATCCGAGTGCGATGATGTTAGGAATACAAGGAAGATGATGCAAGTGCCAGAATAAAGTAAATTTCCGTGAATGCCCATCTAAAAGTATCACCCAATGAAAAAAAACCATTCACATCAACTACGTGATAAAGCTGTCACTTGTTGTTCAATTTGTACTCAGTTATCATGACATATAAATTTATCTTTAGTTTTATGCGAATTTCGTTTTATTTTTAGATTAATGTCAAATTTTAAATTATGCGAGACATATTTTTTTGCAGACTGAAAACAACGATGATTGCAAGATCTTACAAATGAAACTCTTTATAGCTTATTGCATCGTCTCAAATATACTTATATATAATATACATGTGATGTCGAGAGATTTACTCGAATGACTTTTGCTATAAATGCAACAAAAGAAATGAAAAGTAGAATAAAAGAAAGAAAACTACGCATTCTACCGGAAAATGAGGTTGGTAATGACAGGCGCTTGAGGATTCACATAAAATGAAAAAAAAAAAAATTTAAGTATAGCACAGGTACTATACTCTCTTCACCAAGAGATAAAGAAATAAGCTCATGGCTTTTAAGTTCCAAACTCTGGCGTGTTCTTTGTATTTTATTGTTTTTTACAATTCTTGAGTATATAGTACCCAGCAGTTTGTTCTAAAACCATTATATAGTCTCTTTCATGATGATCAAATTATGAAAATCCGAGCCGATAAAAATAGATATTTAATGGTATTTGTCATGATGGATACTTTGGGTGAAAGAAATCTCTTTTTATAATTTTAATATTGTTTTAAAGACATATTTTTGGATAATTTTTCAAATTGTAGTTTTTTATAAAAATCGAAACAAATTTTTTAATTGTTATTGTCGTGTAAAGAAGTAGCTCTCACAGTGCTTTTAAAATAATTTGAATGAGGAAGTGTTCAATTGAGTATAATTAGATATTTTAAAGTTAAATTTATTTTTTTTTTTGGCAAAAATAATTTTCTTTTTTTTAAACAGTTAAAGAGATTTTTTTATGATTGAATCCAAAAAGATTTTTAATTATAAAATCAAGCAACTACGTAATAATATTTCATTAGATCAAATAGATTGATAGTTTTTTTATAAAACAATAGAAAAAATAAGATGATTAAAGTTCATTTCTTCTGAAAAATTTTGATTAAAAAGTTTAAAAACAATTATTTATATTTGATAAATGAATAAATTTTTTCTAGGTAAATGAACTTATTAACAGTTAATAAATTCTTTTATCGGGGTATTGTTGTGCACAGAAAACTTTTTCATTCGGAAAATTATAAAAAATATTTCGTTATATAAATGTGTTTACTTTAGAACAACCCCAGAATAAGTTTAATAAATTATTCTGAAATTAAAAAGTAAAATGTGAATTATTTTTTGTAATTTAAATGGCTTGGTAAAACGATGCTTGATATTATGTAGTCGAGGCGAAAAATTAAGAAAAATAAGTAAGATTGCAGACATAATTATCTTACTCCCATAAAAAAACATTCAGATTGGCTCAATTAGGACAGCAGTAAAGTTACAGATAGAACTCCGACCCAGTTAGCTATAGGTTGACTGTTAGCAACGTATAACAGGGTACTTTAATGCACGTGGTGCGGTTGTCTCTGCAGAACCAACGACTCCTCCTCTTGAACAAGGATTAATTTTTGTCTGTGAATCTGCAGAAAACACACATATGGTAAATTTTACCGCATATAAACACTATTTACTTGAAGCTTTTATTGCTGCTCTTTGTCTTGTAGTCTACTGTGAATATCTCATTTACTATGTTGTCCTTGCACAGGTAAGATAAAAATTGTATCAATCTATCTTTAATAATTTTATATTTATATTTATATTTATTTCTTAGTGCTCATGGCCAGATATCGACAGCTTTAAAGCAGATCCTTCAATCAAACCAGGCATACTAGAGGAGAAGCCGGTAAAAATTATGTTTATAGCAGATACTCATTTATTAGGATCTAAAACTGGACATTGGTTTGATAAGCTTAGAAGGTATGTATCAATTAAGTTATTTAATGCTACATCTTATTGAAAAAAATTTTTTTTTTAATAACTACTATTTCAGAGAATGGCAAATGTACAGGACTTTCCAAACATCAATGGTTCTTTATAAACCTGAGATTGTTTTTTTTTTGGGTTTGTAATTTGCTATTGTAAACCTATTATATTTTCACCTGATAAATAATATAGATTTTATTTTTAAATAGGAGATATATTTGATGAAGGAGCTCGAAGTAGTGAAGATGAATTCCAAACTTATGTTAATAGATTTCATTCCCTTTTTTCTGTTCCCAAGAACACTTATTCTTATGTGCTCGCCGGAAATCATGACATGGGTTTTCACTATGGTCTGACAATCAATAATTTTCTGGTAACTGTTTGGAAGTGAGGTTTACCCTGCTCCTGGTCATAAAAAATCGAAAAATGGACATATCGACGTTCTAATTAGCAAATTGTCTAACTCTATTTTAGAGAATCTTCCATTTGTATGAAAAAACAATTGATTCAAAATTTAATATCACTTTAAAAAACCATTTAATATCATTAATATCTAATAGAGATATAATATTTTGGTTTGAATTATTCAAATAATTTATAATTGGACTATTGCTGTATCAAAATATTAAAAAATCACCCTCTAAAAAATAAGGAGAGACGAATTGCTAATTAGACCGTCGATATCCGAATTTTTTTTTTCCTATGTCGACTTTTTGAATTGAAAATATATATATATATATTTATTTTGATTTTATGGCTCAAAATAGTTCGGTTCTCACTTTCAAAAAATAGCCATTTTTTTAACAAGTTGTACTTGAAATATTCAACTGTTGAATATAATTTTTTCAGCAATAACACCTTATAAAAATCAACGATTTATCAATAGTATGAAATCTCCAAACGTAAAAAGAGTCAGCATCCGAGGAACTCATTTTATACTTATTAATAGTATGGCATTTGAAGGGGATGGATGTTTTCTTTGTAGGCCTGCTGAAGTTAAAATTCACGAAATATCAAGTATAAATTGAAATTATTAGAGAAAAAAAAAATAATTCTTTTAAAAATATACTAATGACTATTTTTAACAGAACAATTGAAATGCGCTAAAGGAATCAAAAGTGATTGTGCTAAATCTGGAAAAACTATAATTGAAAAATACAGTCGGCCAATTTTACTTCAAGTATGTTTATTGCATGAATTTTCTATTTTTTATTTTACTTGATAAATTTTCAAAAGAAAATTTTTTTTATTTTACTTTCGAATTAAACTTTTTTCAAAATCAAATTATGACTTACAACTACAAAAAAAAAAAACAAATAAAAATTTTATTCAGCACTTTCCTATGTATCGAGAGTCTGATGCTTCATGCAAAGAATTAGATCAAGCACCAGATGAAATAAAAAACATTAAATTTCGTGAGCGGTGGGATTCTTTGTCAAAAGAGTCTTCTGTACAGGTAGCTTTTTTCAGCATTAATTTATTATTATACATTTTCAAGTATTAATTTTTACTAAAAACAAAAATAATCCACTCAAAGCTTTTGGAGTTATTGAATCCAAGACTTATTATTGATGGTCATACACATCACGGCTGCAGACAATTACATGGTGAAGACACTCTAGAAATCACGATTCCTTCATACAGTTGGAGAAATAAAAATAATCCATCATTTTTAATGGTAAATAAATAAATAATTCATATCTGTAATTAAGTCATTATTTAATGCAATTATTTTTTATTACACATACTTAATCATAGATTTTATTTTAGGGAGTTTTTACACCAAACAATTACGCTTTATCAAAATGTTACATGCCCGTTGAGAATACAGTTATTTTAATATACACTGTAGGTGGAATATGTATCGTTTTTTATCTTCTGTTTCGAGCCAAGCAAAAAATGAACTGCCGTCATCACTTTTTAAAACTACACTGAACATTATCATCAATAATTGGATGTAAATAAATAATGATCTTTCATTTTTTAACAAAGCTCTGTACATTAAATCATTAATCAGATTTTTCGTAATTAAAATACTGATATTGTCTACATTATTATCAATTTTACATCGTACTTACTTACATACGCTTACATGTTAATATACTTAAAATAAAATATACCATTTTTAAATAAGTGTACTTATGCGTTTAATTCATACATTGTAAGTACCAAATATGAAAATTGTTATGTTTTTATTTAAATCTATTTTTTTTAACTTTTCATCAAAGCACCAAAGAAATGATTTAACTGATTTTGTGTTTTGGAAAATGTTTAGTTTTGTTTTTCTTACAAATATATATTAAATTTATATAAACTAAACTAAGAAATTATTTTTATATTTTATTAATTATACTTATATCATACATTCTCTCATTCACTTGATATATTTATTCGATTGCCAAAAATTAGGCAGGATACGTTTTCACACATATCAATATTAATAGAAAATTGTCTCTGTTTTAATTGTTATTTTTTTTTTTTTTTTTTTTAATTGTAAGAAAAAGACATCTATAAAGAAATTAACGACTAGTCAATCTTTACCGCAGCATAAATTTTTCGAATGAATGCATACGCAGCAAAGAATCCTATTGTTCCAGTTAGCAACCAAAATGTTAAAACCATTAATCCGGTGTATCCAAAATACATTAACGTTGGCACTAGTTCGGTAATTTCAAGTTTTGTCATAAAATAAAAAACTGAATAGGCAAATACGTAAACAGCTGAACCGCCACTTACAACAAAACTTCTCCACCACCACCTGTAATCCTGTGAACAGTTAATTAAATAATGATTAATTGCTATTTTGATATGTAAGAAAATAATTATTAAATAATAAAATGATATGAAAATACATACCTCTCCGCATAGTTGAAAGTAGACCATTACAATTGATATTTGTGAACATGAAATAACTAGAATACAAAATACGAGAAATAGGAAGCCAAAGAGATAATAAAATCGATTTTCCCATAGTGCAGTTAAAATGAAAAATAATTCAATAAATACTGCTCCAAATGGTAATATTCCAGCCATCAGTGTACTAAAAATAATTTACTTAATTTTAATATCAATTTTATTTATTAATATAAATAATATAATATCGAACAACTTACCATAAAATTGGATTCATGTACCATAATTGATCGGGTACTTGTCTCGGGATTTGATTAGTTCTCACTGGGTGTGTAAATGGTTGTTTCCTATATCCGAAGAAATATCCGAGGTAAACAAGTGGAAGAGAAATACCAAACCAAAGACACAGTAGTGATAACATTGTCGTAAATGGTACTGCACCGGAACTGTGTTTTCCCCAAATGAAAAAATTAAGGAAGAAGCATGTACCAAATACAATTCCAGGATAGAATGTTGCTGTTAAAAGTGCAGCACGTTTCCATTGTCTTCCACGTATTGTTTTATACAATCGTGCTGAAAAATAACCGGCGACTAACCCAGAAAAAGCGTAAAAAAAAATTGCACATGTAGCAAGTGCTCCTCTACTAGCCGGCGAAAGCATTCCTAACATGGCGAAGACTGAAAAAAAAAAAAAAAAAAAAAAAAAAAAAAAAAAAATTTATAAACAAACTAACGTTAAATTTTTAGAAATAACTACAAAGTAATTTAATTAGTAATCTATATTTCGTACATATTGTAATAAGCGCCATGAAAAATATTTGAATCCCGCTTCCAATAACGGCAGCAAAAAGACGAGAATTAGTTGGAGGTCTAAATACATCGCCGTGGACTAATTTCCAACCTGTTTCTTCAATTGATTCATCCAAGCTTGCTAGACTGTCACAATCACCTGCATTATAACGGGCGATATCTCTTCGTAATGTTCTTACCATAATCATCGTAAGAATTCCTAATAAATTGACAATAGTAATTAATTGTACATGAAAAATTTAAACAGCTGCTTTAATTACCTAATATATAAATATACACATGTAAAAGTATATTTGCATTACTATACCTGATAAAAAGAATACAACAACAAGAGAATTAATAATTGAAAACCAATGTATCTCAACATCATTTATCCCCAAATAAACATCCCATCTGCTAGCCCAACTGATATCTGATTCAGTCCACTCAACAGAGTATAAAAATAAAAGTCTTGTTCCTTTTGGATTAACGTATTGGGGAGAAATGTCTCCCGGTGGTTGACAATCATTGTCTTTAAATTCTACTTCGCTGAAATCAACAGATCTCGCATCGACTTCGAAACCGACTACTCTAAATTCATTGCTGTAAAATTAATAAAATTATCAATGATTTAATTTAAATGATGAAACAAATTCCATTACAAACAGTGATTACTTTTTTATTATTGTAAATTTTATTACTACTTACTCTCCATGTTTATGATAACTAAGTTTGAGCTTGAGATAATTATTTATGAATACTTGATCGCCTTTAACACCACCGAGCCGATAGCCATAATAAACTATATCATTATCATTATCATCTTTGTGGATTTTTTTAGTAGCTGCAGGCAGATTATCTATTAATCTGCAATGTTAACAATAAATTAATAACTTAATTCAAATATAAAACAATGATACGATTAAAAAACTACTAAACTTACAAATGAACCGTATACTCGTGCTGTATTCGTTCGATTACAGTTTTGGATTCTTTTTCGTTCCAATTCATAGGTTTTTGCGGCGTGTGACATAACAATCTGCAACTTACATCAGTCCCCATGGCTACTTCATACGGAGTGTTGACAATTCTGTTTGAAAAAATGTAAATAATAAAAAATCAGGAACATTTCGCTTGGTATGGTACAGAAGAATATTGAATGAATAAAAAAATAAACTTACCGATCACCTCGAAGGACTTCACCCAAGTTTTCAGACATGTAAACGACAGTTCCATTTTTTGGTCTACAAAAACCCAATGAATAATACTCGTACGGTAATTGCGTACGCGTACTTGTCATTTTTACAGCCTTGACATTTATTTTTTGCCCTTTTTTAAATTCAACTGGAGCTACTCCAGGAACATAAAAGGCATCTAGTTCTAGTATGAAAAATAGCAATCCTATTACTGCGCTCCATTTTAATCTTCCCTGTAAGACATTATTAAAAATTTTATTGTTTATGCAATAAATTATACAGTTAATTACATCATAAAATGATCCATAAATTTATTATAATTTCTATAACAAATTGTTAGATCAATTATTAGAAATCGATGAAAAACATTGTTGGTGCATGATTATCAAAGAAGTTTTCATTGTTGATGAAAGGTTAATTTGTAATGAAATTGTTTAATAGATTGAATAAATGATGCATAAGAATAATAAATATAATTTACCATGGTAAGTGTGACGTTAATTGTTGATGAAGCCGCGCCACGCCGACTGCACAATTCAATTTCAATCACCTACAATGTCCACAATAATTCACGACACACCGTTTTCGCATTACATCAGAAGTATGTATAAGTGAATCATCATATCATGTGTATGTATAAATTAATGTTTGTGTGTGAGATTATTTTTCGACAGTGTGAAGTTAGCGCTTTTTCAATGTTGACACGTAGAGACTATATAAATGTAATGTAATACCTACTACCTACACATGTTTATGCTCTATGTATACATAAAACAATCGATCAATTGATTCAAAGTTGGGTTCAGATTATTTTATTTTAAAATACCAAAATAAAAATATAATTTATCCGGATTCTATTATTCCACCTACATACATTAATTTCATAAAAATATTTATAAGTAGATTTCTGTCAAGATAAAATCTTTCATAGAACTCGTTTTCTCGGTAAAGTGTCAGTTCTAGCTGATCTTGGTTCTATCAACATTATAACAGTGTGCCCCCTTCCGGAATCCCTCAAAGAGAAATTATGTTACCGGGTCTGTATCTCTAGTTATAAACGTGAGATGACTCTCTAAGTTCAAATTACTTTCATATAGTGCAATTTTAGCAATTTTCAGGTGAACTTGTCAATTGTTAATTGTTAATTGTTATTCCAAACAATTGTCAGGTTTTTTTTGTATCAATAGTATCATTTTGATTTCTGGTACTTAAATTTTAATTGGGACATCAAAATACTTTTATACTCCAGCAGAAATATTAAAAAAAAAAAAACTAACATTTATTTTATTACTAAGAAATTTATTAATTTTTTTACAATAAAATTGAATTTGCCTGAAAACTTAAAATTCGATGTTTTAAAATTTTTTCTTCTAACTTTTAAAACAAAATTAGTTTTAGATTTTACGAGAAATAAAATAATTACTAAAATTGGCCTGATAATTATATTAAGCTTCTATTTCAATAAATAAAAATTTAATATCTATATACAAAATCCGAGTTATGATATCAACATATTTTCTTTTGCAAGTATTAATTAATAAGATTAACTAATAATGATTCAATGGAGCATCCAAATATTTTCAATAACAATGCCTTAGAAAGTAAAAAATAACTCCCTGAGTTATTGAAGCTTTTAATTGAAAGTCTTTTTTGATAGTAGTTTTATTTTTTGCTAAATAAAAGAAAGAATAATCAGAACCAATGCGGTTCTTTTGGTAAAATAAAGTATACACCTAGTGTACTTAATATTCTTACTATAATATGAAAAATGAAAATTATATTTATCATAGTTACACACATAGTGTAATATATTAAATATGTTGATAGTACAAAAAAAAAATTACTAGGACTACTTAAACGTAAAAAGGTAATTAAAAAAAAAAATATTCATATATACATATAGATGTTGAACACAAAATAAACATGGGAATATCAATTTATTTTTCATTATTTGACTTTTATTTTAATTTAGTACGTTTATATTATTAATGATAAAAAGATTGAACTTATTTAGGAATTGTCGGTTTTATAAACAATATGGTTTAATACAAAAGGAAATAGGGGAATGATGCATTCACAAAAACAAGATAATAAAACAATGAAAAAAATTCTAATTCTAAAAAATATATTAATTGCATATTTAGCTTAACACCATTTAATAAGCTTTCATGTCCTCGATTTCCTTCATTTCCATATACCGACTCCCCCCAAATTATGTAACAATCATATTATCATAAGTTCATATAAATAAATGCGAGACAATAGAATATAATTCAGTGACGTTGCTTCAAGATTTTGCAACAAAATTCAGTTTTAATCTTGTGACAATCACGAGGCAACGGAGTGAATAATAAAATATTGTCTTCACCAAAACAAAGAAAAAAAATTTGTTTAAAATTCTTTTTTTTTTGTAACAATTTTTTTTATAACCGATTGAAAAAAATATTCTATAATATACATATTTGTAATAATAATAGTTGTAATAATAATAATAATAATAATGATAATAATAATGATTTTTTCAAACCATTAATAACAATTTAAGAAAAATTGATTCAATCACAATAATACCATTAAATGAAAAATTATTTGAGTTTTTGAATTCAGTACCAGTAATTGAAATTAAAGTTTTTTTTTTTTGTAAATAAAAATATAAAAGATGAAAATTAATTAAAGGTTGTACTAATAATGAAAGGAAGAATAAGATCTACTATGAATTGGAAGTTAAGAACAAGCAATCAAATGATTGAGGGAATGGCCGCAATTTTGTCTGAGATATTATTTAGTTTGTTTAATTCGATCGTGTTTGATAAATAAAATTTTAAACGACATTTTATTCGTAATTTCGTCGTGTTACTTTGCCCAAACGGAAGACAAGCCAAGATTATCATTTTAATAAAACGAAAAAAAAACTAACCACAGTAAATAGTAATCATAATAATAAAAAGAAATTCTCAAATTATTTTCGTTAAAAGTGTATTCCGCAAGGGCAATAATACTGCGAGTAAATTATAAACGCGATTCGATAATGGTTTCAAGCGATCATTACTACTGTTAGTTTCTTGCTTCTATGTCAGCAATTCAATGTATTTAAGACAAAAAAAAAAAAAAAAAACATAAAAACAAAAAAATAACATAAAAAACTTAAAAAAAAGTTTAAAAAACACGCTTTATGACTGGTATACAAGAGAACTTCTATAAATTTGACTACGAAAAGCAGAGAGGGAAAGCTATCTCGTCTTATTTTGATCGTGTACTAGTAAACGAGTAAAAAAAAAATTCCAACGAAAATAGATTTCCCTCTCTCTCTCTCTCTTTTTCCAAGTCGAATTTGTAGGATTTCTACTATAATATACAAAGCAAAAAGTACCTCTAGATTGGAAAAAATGAAATCTGTTATAATTCAGTTTTACCAATCAATGTTACTTATCGATCGCTTGATTAAGAATATTATTCTTCGCTTGATTTTTAGTCTGCTCACTTGAGGCAGGTTGTTCTTTTTTTTGTGTATTTGTAACACTATCTAATCCAAGTTTACTAAGAGTGCGTAAAGCAGTAAGAGCCGCTTGATCTCTACTTGCACTTGTCGTTGGACCATGACCATGACAAACTTGAGGTGGATCAGTACTGAGTGAGACCAATGATAAATACTCCTTGTATACACCCTGAAAATTCTGTTATTTTAAACGATTGCATTTAATTTACTTAATGTTAATTAGTTGTGAATTATTAATAAATTATAGTTAAACAAAAAGTAAATATAAAAAAGTTAAACCGTACCTTTGGAAAATCACTGAATTCAACATCAAAATTGAGAAGTTGAGCTAAATATTTTAACTGCTCTTTTGGAGATATACCAGAGGGATTACTCTGCTGCTGCTCTCGTAATTCTTCAGCGACAACTTGAACACTTGGACCACTATTAACTTTATTTTCTTGACCACCATCAACTAGAAGTAAACCTGGGACTAATTGACGGCCAATTGTACCACCAACTGGATGACTCGGAGTTTCATTTTGGTGTTGTTGTTTATCATCTTCAAGGAAAGTTACTTTCCTCGGTTTACTTTCGGTATTTGAATTGTCACTGTCAGCTGTTTTAATAGACGATTTAATTGGTTGTACATCAGGTTTACTGTATCCAAGTTTGGTTAAAAGTGCTTCAGCTGCAGCTCGTTTACCAAGTTTTTTATTTGGTCCGATTCCTCGTGCCGAAATATTTCCGATAGATACCTCCATAAGAAATTCACGACGTCTCGGTGCACCTTTTTCTTCAATTAACGTGTAAATTGGCTCTGGTTTTTTTTGAGCCTGTTGTATTTGAACGAGACGCGAAATAGGATTAACTTCATCGGCAATTTCAGAATCAGATCGTGGCTCTTGATAATCTTTTATGAGGTTCCGTGATTTTTTTTTAGTAGCGGGAGGTTTACGTTTCATACGGATTGGTCGACATTGTACCGTTGTGGGCAAAGGAGGAAGTCTTTTTAATTCTTCAAGCATAAGTTCAGCTGCTCGTTTTTTCGATACTTTTTTCGAAGAACCTTCACCATGAGTAACAGTATCTCCAACAGAGCATTTTGTTTTGAATATACGAATGTGTGGTTTACCACTCTCAGATACAACCTCAAAGCTGACCGATAGTCCTCTCTTTAATGCTGTCTCATGTACCAAAGAGACTGGACTTTTAAGTTCAGGATTAAAATCTTCAATGCCTGGACTCGCACCATTTTCATTAGTGGTAGTTGGTGTTATCTCTTCAGGCAATGGTAGCTGCCGTAATTGTTCTAAAGCTCGGCTTGCTGCATCATGTCGAGCTGCTTGACCAGTTACACCTTGTCCTATAAATTCACGCTCACCAACTTTAAGTGTGACTACATAAAGACCTTCAGGTTTTGTGTGAAAAAAACGATGGTTTATATTACGTGGAAAATTTGGATTAAACATCCGAGGGTCTGGTAGATTATTGAAAGGTATATTTGGTGGTGAAGGTGCATGTTTATATGTATAAGTTGTTGGTTCACCGCGTTTCATAGCTAATGCATTTAACTCAACAGTCGGTGGTAAATGACTTGTATAATTACCACAGCCAGTTTGGCTTTTTGTTGAGTGGCCGATTCGTATAGATCTAGGTTTTGGTGGTGGTTGTATGTACAATGTTTTAGTGAGTGCTTCTGTCGCTGCACTATGTTGAGCTTTCTTAATACTTGGACCATCAGCAACATATTCTTCTTCCCCTAATTTTAAGGTGACAGTAAACCTTTTTTTATGCGCTGGTCCTTGTTCATTAGTGAGTCTGTATTGATGTTGAATTTTATTGAATCGTGCTAGTTCATTAACCAAGCACATCGGCGTTTTCTCTTTCATGTTTGCCAAATTTGTATTTGTAGCATTTGCGTGATTTTGATTAGACGGACTGTGATTTCGGGATTCTCTGCTTCCATCACGAGTTGGTGATTTGTTTTCACCTGAACTTGGTTGTTGTTGTTGTTGTTGTTGTTTTTGTTGCGGCTGCTGCTGTTGTTGTGGTTGATGAGGTGAATTTACTTGTTGCATATTACCTTGATATTGATACTGTACAACCGTTTGACTGACTGGAACAGCTGCATCTGACTGTCTATTCACGCTGATGCTTACCATCGTGCCTAAGCACAAACGATTTTATTTATTAATTAATTTTAATTTATTTTTTAAGCATTATTATTGTTATATAGATTATAATGTTAATATGAGAAATAATAATCATGTATTAGTCATAAAATGTTACTGTATTACTCATAAAAGCATTCAATAGTCATAAGAATTGTATACAGTATAGAGTTGCAAAGATAAAAATAATATTTAAAAAGGAAAAAATAAAATAAAACAGTACTAAATAAATAAGCTTTGTGAACGTAAACACAGGAATAAGAGTTTTAAACATGATATTTCAAATGAAAAAGTAGTGATATGATCAAATTACTTAAGAATAATGACTAAAGATAAATTTTTAATGATATATCAACCAGTCTTAGTCCAACACATATGTATTTTACTTTTTCCCGGTGAAATAAACGATTTGTAAAAATAATTTTTTTTTTAATTTTGCAGCATAAATGTTAAAAATATTGAAACATTTGAATAATTATTAATTGTTGATCCCCAATATTAATTACAGGTCAGAATTAGTTTGGTTTAAAGAAAATGAAGATTCGAAGTAATGAATTAAATAAAACCGACCTTCGATGCATCCCGTTGGCCCAAACAACAGGTCCAAATTTTCAATACTATACGGTAAATTTGGTTGGTGTTTTTTACCTTCCACATCAATTAGAAAGGCACTCAGGAAGATCAGAGTTAATATGAGTCGAAATCCTAACAAAATTAAACATATCGAAGATGTAAAATAATCTATTGAACATTTGAGCTTTTTTCCAAATTGATTTCATTAATTTCGTCTAAAGATTGAATAATAATAATAATTTATAATAATAAAATATAATCGACACTAGTTGGACTTTTGGAAACTAATTTATTATAAAATTATTTTCAGTATCACTGCTTATAAACCGGTTTAACTGTTTAGCTAACAAAATATTAAAATGAGCGTGCAAAACAAGATGCGATTTCACCAAATAAACCTAGATAATCATGATAACGTTTAATTAACGGATGAATATGAGAGTACCACATGCCAACCTATAAATAATAACCAGTAGAAATTAGAGTTATATGATAAATTTAATAAATATAATCTGATTCTGAAAAATTGAGAACTTTGTATAATTAAAATGTGTACATTTTTTCCAATCATTTTAGATAAAATGGTGTTTTAACTGTAAAAATAAATAATCGAAATTTTAACTTTGAAAAACTGTTTTCATTATGTTTACACGTTTTGTCACTAATTTTCATGATAATTAATAAATTATCATGTATGGACTTACTGTTTATTTAATTTTCCAAGACTGGAAGAATACAATTTATAAAAAATAATGAGATGATTTAAACATTCAAGCTTAACTCATCAATTAGTCAAATAAATAATATCGTAGATGCAAACATTATCTACAACTAATTTCTACAGGCTTATGGTACATAAAATAAGTAAAGATATTAATTTTTAATAACTAAAAAGAAGACAACTTACCATTTGGATTTTGTGCATTTGCACCAATAATGAGAGGTTGTCGAGGAGGTCCGGAATGTGGAAGATGTGCGTGCATTGCTTGATGTCCAGCAATAGAAATAATTTGTTGTGGAGCATGCATACCACGATGCAAATGCATATGTGGCTGAGGTTGATGTGGCGGCATCATATTCCCTTGTGACATTTGGCGAGTTGGGCCAACCATTCTATAAAATTATTCATTTTAATTATTAACACTTAGTACTTATAGCTATCATCGTTTCACTTGAATGATTAACAAGGCTGTATATAAATTCTAACCTGCTTTGATCTCGTAACTGATTTTGCATTGAATGATGATGCCGCAACATAATCCAGTCACAATTTGTGATAAATCTGTTAATAGTTATACATAGATTTAAAAACTACATAAATTAATATTTATATATATAAACACACTAGTTTATGAAAGAATTGTTAATGTTTAAATTACAAAGATGGAAAAGGGTTTTCTCATTGAGTTAAGTAAAGCGATCATACTAAAGTGTCATTAGACAAAAATGACTATTTTGTAATAATGAACTGACAAACAATTTTTCACAAGATATTCGCTATAAATAAATTAGTCAATAGACAATGGGCTTGGCCCGGTAAAGTATGAGAGAGAGAACTAGAAAAGACGAGTCAAGATAGTAATTGGGAAAAGAGTAAGGTAGATAAATGATAGAGAAACACCGCTGCGAGAGCTAGAGGATGAAAAAATAATAAATCTTTATAAATATTTACCAGATTTGGAAATGATTATACGATTTAATTTTTTATGTATATCAATCAATATTCATATAATTAGTATATTGTCACTCTCATAAACGCACAATATTTTGTTAATTATTACTGATCCATTGGCAAACAGCAAAGAGAGTAGTACCTTTGCAAACTAAACTGCGGCCATTTTGATAACTATACAAGTATAAGAATAAGAATAAAAAATTTTTAAAATAGTTAGCAGGTGATTGTTATTTGATTGGTCACTTCTTCTGGATTATACTGGTGACCATTTGTCGAAACTATTGTTCATTTTTATTGAAATAGTAAATCCTTTGAACGTGATTTTTAAGATTTTTATGCCGCATTTACATGAAAAAATTCGCTTACCTACTTGCAAGTACTAACGTGAGCAGTAATTTCCAGATTTTGAATTAAATTTACATCTATTAGATAAAAATATTAAGTACAGGGTGAAATATTGCAATTACAAAACTTATGACATTAATTTTTTTTAACAAATAAATTTGTTCCAAAAAATTATTTTTAAAAAATTGCATTTTTTATTTTTTTAAATTTCTGTCAATTTTTTTTTTTTCTAAATTTTTTTGCCATAATTTATTTGTTACAAAAATTTTTAAAATTATTAATTAAATATCTGCTGAATTAATTTTCATGCAATACTTATATTCCTATTATAAGCTGTTGATGGAAATATAAATTATTTAAAATATAATTTGTGAGAATAATTTAGAAAAGATGTGAATAATTATAAAATAATAACAATGTACAATATAAATAGTTTCAATCATAAATACATATATTTCTCTTTTGAGCAAAATAGAATTAAAAATTACCGCAAATGCAAATTATATTTCTTTGTTTTAAATAATATATTTTTTATTATTATTTATAAATAATATCACATTTAAAAAAAATTGATTAAACTATTGGATATCCATAATTTAAAAAAGTAAAAATAAACTAAAATTTTAATAAGCTACTCAGAAGATTATACAATATATGCTTAAAAAATAAATTGACGATAATAACGGTAGTATTTAATGATGTGAATAAACGTTCTTGATAAACCTTCATAAGAAATTTATATTTAAAACATTTCTGATGATATTTACAGTGATATTTTATGTACAGAACAATAATAATATTTTTCTTATGTTATTAATGAAACTTTGTGAAAAATACAATATTTATTTACAAATTATCTAGGTACACAATATTATCTTTACATTACGCAGTTATTTAAACAATAATGATAGTAACACAACATATTCATCACTTTTTGTTTCATAATTTTTTATCTTATCAATTAAAGAAATTAATAAAGCAATTTTCTTCACTTGCCATTTTCTTTCAAAATAAGCCGCCAACAAACATATTTATAAAGTACAATACTTATTTAAAATAACAATGATTTTTTTTCTAATTCAATTGATGGAATTTTTAACACTTTTTTTTTTTTTTTTCTAAAGAATCAATAGATTTATTTTAAACTAAGGAAATTTTTTATTTTATAAAATAAGAATTGTAACTACACATCAATAGTTGTAAAATACATACATTTATGTAGGTAAGAGTTAAATGAATAGTAACAATAAAATTTATTAACTATTTAATAAAATAAAATATTTGCCTGATGAGAAAAGTCAAGAGATGAAAAATATTATGCTCGTTTGGTCCATTGTAATTAAAAATTTTTTTATCAATATCAATAATATTTAACATCTCACTTATCAAACTTCGTTTCATAAAATTTAATTTAAATGTTTTTATATCCAGAAAAAAAAAATAAACATATTTTATAATAAGTCAACAACTATCAACACAATCTCAGTGTAAATTACAAATCACTCTGGAGTGCGCATATATAACTGTACATTTGAAAGATAATTAAAAAAAAATTATAATAAATTTAGTTCATCTTATTTGCACCATTGTGATTTATTTTACAATTCGTTACCCAACCATCTTCTTGAATAGAGCCCAAATAATCCTCTAAAAGTTTTGCTAAAGTTCGGCGTTTAAATCGAAGTGATTCTTTCACAATATCACGCACAAAGGCAATTCGAATGTCTAGAGTTCCCTTAACTTGACGTATATGAGAAAATAAAGTAGAATAATTAGTTCCTCGTTTTCTTACTTCTTTATGTATAATCTCTCTAATTGAAAAATTATGTTTTCGCACATCATCCAATTCTTTTTTTGTTAATGGTTTTTCCTTTTCTGATTTCACATCGTGCTTTTCATCAACATGATTACCTAGCCGATTTTCTTGTTTAATGTCAATAACACTGTTAATATTATCATTATTTACATCATTATTTGTTGTTACATCATTATGCTCTAATTTGACTTCGATTTTTTCATTTTTTATTTCCGGCTTGATTGATTGAATATTATTAGGTGTTGTAACTGGTACTAAATCAGGAGGTGCTTCATTATTGTGTTCTGGTGTTTCATTCGGACAAAATTCGAAAACAGGCAGTGTCGCTGATGTTATATCCGAAAGTCCATTTGTTAATTTATCGGTCGTACTATTAGTAGGTAAAATTGAATTGGGTAATATTGGAGTTGGTAGATTTGTAGAGTTTAAAATTGTAGACATGTTAGGTGAATTTACATCTATTGGAGTTGAAGTCGATCGTTTTGGTTCAGCAACTTGAGTCCAAGGTAAAGGCGAAGCAGAAGGTGACGGTGACGGTGATACATATGATCGTCTCCGTATTATATAATCTTTTGGAATAGGCCCAGGTTTTCTTTTATTCGCCGATGGTCGAGAGAGAATAGGACTAATATTATTTACACTGCTATTATCCAAAGACCGTTTAAGGCTTTTTGAATTCGACGTTGATGGTGAAATTCCCGATGATAAAGAATTACTGGATATATTGGATGGCGAAGATGAGGAGCTCAACATAGATTGATTTCCAGGTGAAGAGTTAGATGCTGACGAAGATGAAGGACTTCCAACCATGTCCATATCTGCTTCATCAACCATCATGCGTTTATCAATTTTGAATGGATTGCCAAACATATGTTGCCTTACAGGTGCACTTTCAATTTCTCGAAGCGGTGGCGTCATACGTTTAAGATACTCTTGATAATTACCCATTTGAGCAACAGGCATCGAATGAACAAAATCGTCATCTAACAATTTAGTGTGCATCAATCCAGGTTGAAGGAAATTGGCCCTCATCCGTACTACTTGGTCCAATAAACTTTTTCTTGGTACATCAAAAGCATTTCTATAACTGTGAACTCCACGTTGTTGTTGTTGATTTCTTACAAGACCTACAACAAAACCACCAAATTCATTCAATTGATCTCGGAGACCTATAAATTTGTCTTGAAGTAAAGGATGAGAAACTAAATCCTTTTTCAAAGGACTTCGCGGAATCACACGAATTCCTTCCGTAACAGGTGACGTAGTTCCATTAACTAAAAATTTATTAGCATTGGCATTAGCAGCTTGTTTTGATATCACTTCAGTACATAGTCTGTCAAATTCGATTTTTGCTTGATTTTTCAATCGTTTCAAGTAATTTAGTACGCTGTAAGACAAAGAGTTGTCTAAATTATCTGGAATGAGAGTTTGAGCCAAAGGTGCTGGCGCACCCATCCTTGTTAAAGCTCTCCTCAAAGATGCAGCATAATAAGTAGGCATTGTCCTTAAATAATTTTGAAATTGTGTCCTCCATTCATTCGTTGGTTTCAATCTGTGAACCTTAAATAACTCCTCAAGTAATGGTAACAATACAGGATAATTATAAGGCATAACAAAGAGATTAACACAGGTGAGATTAGTACTAGCTTTCAAATAACCAAAAGGATGTCCAACTTCACTTGATTTGTAAGAATTAGCAACGAATACTTGCCAGCAAGTTGTCGGTTGTTTTCTAGCTAATATATATTGCGTCAAAGGACTTGGTTCGAGTTCATATTTATCAAAAGGTAAATTTTCAATAACCATTGGCTCTTGACTAGTACAAGTAAATTTAACGTTGGGGTGCGCAGATCTTGGTGGCAATGAACTTGCATTTAAATCTGGCCAAAAACTTTCGGGAATAGGCCAAAAACCAACGGCAAAGCCTTTCTGCGCTTGTCTTGGTACATAAATGAGTCTACGACACGAATGCCAAGCTGTATTTCCTACTGCTACTGGAATAGGTAAATACTGTGATTTTATTCCATTAGCTGTGGTTGACGAGTTCTCATCATCATTTTCTTCATCTTCTGGTTGTACTACTGGCTGCGGTTGCATTGGTTGTTGTTGTTGTAGAGTCAATTGTTGTTGTGATAAAATTTCATTCGGTAAAGGCGGTGGATCTGGACCTATTTTTTCGAAATTTATCACAACACCGGATTGTACTTTCTGTACTAAAGAGTCAATACACTGCATCATCATTCTGTGCGACGTTATGCAGTATGATCGTCCTAAAAATTAAAAATAATCATTATAAAAATATAATACACTTTATTTAATTATAAAAGAATAATTACCTCCAGTAACTTCACACATTGCATCGATTGGTGAAGCGTCACTAGCCACTAAGCCGGTGTCTCTGTCAATCGCGGGTGTTCCCGAGAGTCTAAGCACTAATGAAAATAATCTCTGGTCCCATCTAAACGGTTCTTTGGTCAATTCCGAGCCGGGAATTGGTGCGTGCATAGGTAAAGTGAACTAAAAATAAAAATTATTATTAATATGAGCTAAATATAATATAAATAATAAATAATTTTATAAGATAAATTACATCTTGTTGAACTCCACTAGTTGTCGTGTATTTTCCACCATCTGTAATTAATACAATCACAGAAGGCTCCAAATAAAAGGGACATCTTCCTTGGCCGTATGTATCAATTCCTGTTTGCATTCGATTAATATTTAAAACATCAAGTGCATGTTTTAAAGCAGCACCTAAAGTAGTCAAGCCAACACACTGAAGGTTTTTCAATTCATTCATAAACGTCGCAAGATTTTCTTTCCATCCTGCTTTTATATTTTGTGGAGGATCTTCAAATGTTAAAAGCATATATCTGTCACACCGACTTTCGGGTGACCTCTGTCTCACCTATAACATAAAACATCATATATTATATCAACTTTTTACCATAAAAAAATAGATAGGATTAATTTTTTTTTAAATGTTATTCACAACTAATAAACATGATATAGCTACGCATTAATATGTGTATGTATATACGTACATACATATATGTATGTGTGTGTGTGTGTGTATGCATGTGTGTGTGTGTGTGTCTATGATATCTATATATTAAGATTTACATGGATACATTTATTTATACGTATGTTGTTTTTATACCTTGACAAAAGTTTCAACTGCGCTTTTAGCAACATCAAGAAGTGTCGGGCGTCCTCCTAAATATGCCCTCTGATTCATTGATGCAGAAGTGTCGATGAGAAAGACAATTATGGTCATCTTTAAGACTTAGAGCGCTAACCCCGTGTATAAAATTCAACGATGCTACTTGCACTATCTCGTTTATACGGCATACCAACCGTGTATGACAAATATAATATATGTAATTTTTGAATAAATTATATAATATATTATATTCTAATTAAACATTTAAAATTACAATACCATTATTATTTTTATTTTTATTATTATTTTTTATAACGTATATATCGTAAAATTAATGGTTACTTGGGCAGACACCAGCCCTTGTTTCGATGCGACCGTACGAGCCGAATGTATCAGTAAGAGTGAGTTCAAGAGAGTCCTATACTATATACTGCCGAGTTTTGCTACACTTCACTCTACTACTATACAATCTTCTTTCTTTTTTCTTTTCCTACCTATACCTACACATATGTTTGTGTAAATATATACATGTACACTCCTACATCACATATATTAACGACTCAACCAACAGTTTTTAATGTACTTTGGAGTAGGGATATGAGAATAGAAAATCTGATTGCTCAAATTCCACTTCGCGTCAATTCCAACGGCTCCATTGTAAACTATCATAATCATTATTAATTTACCTTTAATTATATTTATTTAATATTAAAGCAAATAGATTGAATTACAGCTACGTTAATAATATATTATGAATAAGTGGTAGTTACTAACTGTGAGGATTAGATTGATGGAGTTTTTATTTTTTAGGTTAAGAAATTGATAATAACTTAAAAAAAAAAAAAAAAAAAAAACGATTTGATCATTTTTACTATATAGTTTTTTAAAAACTCGAAGGTAATTTTTAAATGAATTTTTTTACAGATGAAATTCAAATTACAGAATCTTAATGATTGACGTCGTACTACTAAAACAAAAAATAATAGATGTTCATTTTTTAAAAATAGAATAAAAATCGGTTTTGCAGAAATTGAAAGAATAAGAAAATTATTAATTACTAATATTTTTCCTTTCGTCTGAGAATAAATACTGGGTGTAATAAATTATGAAAATTTGGGCCTTGAACATATTTTTTTTGTTCATATAAGTATACGGAAAATATTTTTTTATTTGTTTTCTAAAAAACAATTTCAGCAAGTTACTCATTAAAAAATTGTTAAATTCCATTAACGTAATATGAAAATCTAAACTCTGGAAGCGTAAATTAAAAATATACATATGTTTCTAGCCGCTTTAATATTTTACAAAGTAAATTAATTAGTTTTTTTCATCATACACCAACAAATAATAAACAGTTTTACATCGAGAGCAGGATAAAACATATAGATAAATATATTTTATATGTCACGAGTTGAGTACTTCTGAGTACAACATTGTTTCGTTTGAAGTAACGACGTGGCAATATCGCATTTTTAACCTTAGCTAAAATTAATTTTCTGTCTCTCAATTTATACGATAGAAAAATTTACAGACTTGTTCTCATGTCTAAATGAATAAATACTACTAGTTTTCTGTAGTTTTACTATAGTACATAACGTGCTGTCGTTATATACCCCCTCCAACTATATATGTCATCCCGACATTGAATTGAGCAGCTTTTATAATTACATTTGTAAAATTAAACAGTCAATAAATTTTTAGATTTTTTTTTCTTTTCATACTTGAACAAGTATCAAATACTTATATTTCACTGACATTCATTATTAGATAATAATTTTTGTCATATAAATGTAAATTTATATTTAAATCTCTCATTTATTCTATTCAACACGTAGAATTTATCGGATGATAATTTAAATCCATTTATACCTGCGAAAAAAAAATTAAATTAATAATTAATTACAACAATAGTTATATATTAAGTATTTTGCAATATACGTAATCTATGACTATGACCCATAAAATTATTTACTTTAATATATTTAATATTACGAATATTTATTTATTAAAGACGCGGGAGTTCGTATAAAACTAGAGATTTTCAGAAAAACAATCAAATAAAATGAAAATGATTTAACTTAAAGTACTGGTATTATTAAGTACTTATATTACTTTAAATAAAGGTAATTATTTAGCTTAAAAGAGTAACTGGCTTTTTTTTTAAGCTTTCTTTAATAATTTTAGTCATCTCAATAATTTTGATCCGTGTCTCAAGAAAAATTTCTGGTTCAGTAGAAGCTCCCGTGACTTTAAGACCATGCTCGATGATGTCTATAGCCACTCCGGAGTCCGGAGTGTATAAATATACTAAACAAGTACGTATGTATACAGAACATAAACTCAAAATAGATGAGTTCTTGTATAAATTTTAATTGTTTAAAAAACTCATTTTAATGAATGTATTTATTTGTATAAATTTTAAACTATAAAGTATTTATATATATTTTTATAATTTGTATTTATAATTTTTTTGTACATACAAATATATTGATCATAACCTCAATTTGAAAATTAAAAACCGGTTTTATTGGGTGTACATTTAAATTTATAAATCCATGGTTATTTAAAAATAATTTTAAATTGTTTCAATATATGAAACTATTAATATAATAAAATTGTTTATCGATAAAGAAATTATAATCTGATTAATTTTTGTAAGTACATGTTTCATAAATTAATTGAAATTATTAAGTAATTTTGAATTATTTAAAAATTATATTATAATTTTCATTTAACAGGATAAAAAGATAAAAATCTTTGTTTAAAATGGAATTCAAGGAAATTATTTTGAGGCTTAATGAACTACGTAAGCAAAAAATAAATGGTGAACTAGATGATTCCGACCACTTATCAGCTGAACACATAAAATGGAGAAATGAATTAAGTTTTGATTTATTGGACGAATATATCAAACATTCTTGTGAAGAAGTATGTATAAAAATTATAACATTAAATAATTATTGAAATATTCATTTTATTTACTAAATATTGTTTTACAGATTCGACTCACGACACTCAGTCTTCTGGTTGAATCTAAAAAAAGCACTTTACGATTTTTGGAGAAAGAATTAAATATAATAATAGAGTTTATAAAATTCAATCTTGGAGAAAAATTTGAATTCGTTCCCGTCATCAAAAAAGTAATTATGAAATTTAATAGTCTTGCAAATTTTTTGAAATTTTATATCAAATATTTTCATCTAATAACTCATTTTTTTCGTTTCATTTTAATTAGGTATTTAAACGAATGAGTCAAAGTCTTGCTGTGTTTCGAAGAAATGTAATGCAAATTGAAAAATTTAAATCACGAGAGATAGAAGCATGTGAAGATTTGGAATTGTATCAACAACGCGAACTAGAGTATACAGAGCTAGCTAAAGAATCATTAAATTCAATAAATTATTATCGTTCATTTTTCTCCAACGTTCGCGAAGAATGTTTGAGTGGTACACGAATCGGAGCAACTCATACACGAAAAAAAAATTGTTTGGGTATATTACAACTGCAACAAAACATTTTAGAAAATGATTTCAATGATATATCGTGGAATGTTGAACAAGTAAATAAATTATTTCAATGTTTATTACTTGATACGTATGAAACAAATAAAGAAATCACTTTTCAAATATTGTCAAAAATTGATCCGGTTACATTAAATTTGACAAACTTAAAGAAAGTTGATGAAATGTTATACGTAGGAATAAATTTAGGAGATTGTATTCGACCACTTGACAGTATTACAGCATCTTATATGTTAAGAATTTGTCTTATGTCACCAATCATTAAAGAAGTATTAAAAAATTATCAGAAAAGTAATCTGTATGAAAATGATATTTTAGCTCAGTTAATTATGGTTTTGCTTGAACATGCTAAGGTGAGTTTCTATTTTATTCATTACTTTTATACAATTTTATAAAAATTATTTTTAATTAATACTTCTTATTTTTTATATAGATTTCTGCAAAATTAGCGAATGAAAATATTATTGATGCTGTTGCAAAACATTCCTTGTACGGGTATATTTTTTGTATAAGAAAATTAATTTCTTCCTGTGATCTCAAGTAAGTTCTGTAATCATTGGTAATCATTAACTGTTATTAAAATATCAATTGATTCGAGTAAAAAAATTTATTGTAATTATTTGTTTCAGAAAAGTTGATATTAAACTCTGGTCATTTATAATTAGTGATATAATAACTGTTAGTTTGGAATTATACACAGCAGTTTCCTCGGTAGTAAATAATTCTTCACCAGAAGGTCATTTTCCAATGGATCTTAATAAAAAATATTTGGGTGTTGATGGGGACAAATGTGATCTAATAAAAGTAACGCCACAAATGGTTCTACTGTGCTCATGGCGTACTGTCAAAGAAGTCAGTTTATTGTTTGGCTATCTGATGATGAAATCACCGATTGAAAATGATAACTCAATAATAGGCTTATTGTCAAAACAACAAATCATTGAAATTGGAGATCATTTAGTTACATTACTTTGCGAAACGAAGCATCGAGGTGCATTTGAACAAGCACACGTGGGGTTTGAACAGTTTTGCACAAGATTATGGCGACTTAAGCAGAATAATTTGAATGAATTACCTAAAATATGGTTGAATGAATTACTCATGGCTATCACTGGGTTATCGCCGGGAAATGCAAAGTTATGCGCTACGCGACGTAGTGCTGGTATACCTTTTATGGTTCAAGCACTGGTTGCTTCTGAACCTTCAATCAAAAATAAAACAGACGCTGTAGTTTTCAACTCGTTGATGAAAATTTTATTAGATTTGACAAAAATTCAAGATGAACTTGAATTATCTAGGAAAGCAATGGACATTATAGAAAAAGAAAAATTTTTTTCTAATCTTAAGATAAATGAATTAAAGAATTATTCTAGTGCAATTACTTCAGGAAGTTGTGATGACAATGTAACAATTACAGAAGTAAAAATGCATGTTTTGAATATATTACGTGCATTATTTAAACATGCCCAGCTACGAGATCTGTCTAAAATTTATTCTTCAAGTGGATTAATTGCTGCAATAAACAGTTATGATAAAAAAACATGGGCTGTAAGTTTAAATAATATTAAAAATGTTTAAATTATTTTTTTTATAGAGCTCATTTTCAGAATTTTTTAATTTTAGGAACGCAATGCAGCGACATTATTATTTAGCGCTTTAATAACACGAATTTTTGGTGTACAAAGAACAAAAGATCACGTAAATTTAACAGTTCACAATAAAATGACTGGTCGAGTATTCTTTGAGAAATATCCAGAACTGTTACCATTTATGCTTAATCAACTAAATGCATACATTAATGATGATAGTAATCCAATAAAACCTAGTATTCAATCAATTCTACTCCTCTTATCTCGATTATATCTCACGTCGAATTTAGACACTAATTATGACTGGAAGGTGAGATCAATATATTTTCATAGTTGAACGAACTGTTATTATTTCTTCTTTTGTGTTCATTATTTTAAACAGATTGCTTTTATAAATTAGGTTGATGAATTCGTAAGATTAGTTTCAACATGTGCTAAAAGTAGAATATACACAACACGAGAATTAGCTGCCAGAGCTGTTGTACCTTTACTTACGGAGAGAACTGTTTGTTTATTTCTTAATGAGTTATTTGAAAAGATTAACACTGAAGCAAACAGTGGTAAATCATCTCGCTGGAATTCAATACATGGCTACATACTTCAGGTTTGTTCAACATTTAACTTTTTGTAAATTAATATCTCAATTTTTTTTTTTTTTTTTTTATTAATCTTATCTTATTAATTATCAGGCTTTGGAAATTACGAAAAGCAGTTTACTCTTAACATGTAAATTATCTGACATACATTTAGGCGAATTCATCTCTAATTCAAAGTGGATTATTCGAAATGTTAGCTGTTGTAATAATAGATCAGCTTGCTATCCATTAGCAGCAGCTTATATTGATCTTCTACATGAATTTATGAATCTCTATAAATACAAGTAAGTTTATTATTAATAATATTCTAGTATTTATAAACTGAAACTTTCAGGTATCTAATTTTAATAACTGAAATTAATTTCGCTTATATTTTATTCATAAAAAAAGCTCAAACAATTTTTATCTTTTCAGAAAAGAACAATTTCCTTTTTCATTGTATCATCAAGTACTTCATGAATCAATAACGTATGTCAGTAGAAATCAATTGAAAAACCAATTAGGAAAAGAAAGTTTTGAATTTTCTACGGCTAAATTTTTTGTGAACTGGCAACTTAAAATAAAACTTAAGTATACTTTAGAAAAGGATGAATGGTTGAAAGTATGGGGTAATATATTGTCCCATACTAATATTCAAGTGCAAATATTAGCTTGGACAAACATAATAGAAACTGTTTGTCGAAAATCTGAAGAATTTTCCATGGCCACACAAAATCCATTACTCTTTTTAGCGATTCATCGTGCTTGTGATGAATTGTATAAAGAAGAAATCGATCCAGATATACAAGATGCAATACAGGACTTTTTATTTCAGCTAGACAATAAAAATAACGTGAATAGCCTTAAAATTGATGAGCATTCATATTGCAATGTAATATGCCCAGCAGTTTTAAATACTTTTAGAAAAAATACATCTTATAGTTCTAGTTTTTTGAGATTGTTTGGAAAAGTACTTGGCAAATCATTAGCCTTTTACACTAGTCAGGTATTTATCGTAATGATAATTATAAGTATAATACTTTATTAAATTATTAATCTATTTTTTTTTTTCATAAATTATAGCCTTCAGTACAAAGAAACATAGATTTTAGTTACGACTCGTATGAAATATTTTATAACAATTCTTGGACTAGTTCATCCGGACTTGATTCTAGATTAGCGATTGCTAAAGTAATGTCCGATATTTATATTGATACCAAGATATTAGGCAATGAATATTTAGGTATGTATTATAATATTATACGTAAATTAATTATTATATTAATAAAATAATTGACTCTTTCTTTTAAATCCCATACAGAACTTTTACTTGACTGGTGGACCATTTTATTGAAGTTATTAGTAGATGATAATTCACAAGTACGTTCGATGGCTTTATTGGCCCTGTTAAAGATTGAATCATCAGATAAAGTCATAAAAAATTCCAAAGAACCACTAGAAATATTATTTGAAAAATTTTTCAATTGTATTTTAGACGATAGTGCAAAGTTTGCAGCATATTTTGTTTGGAGTCTTTCATTATCGGAAAACGATTTTGAAATGGATGATAGTGATGTAAGTATATAATTAGCTTAATTATTATTTAGTAAATTAAGAAGTTATTTCAAATATGCATTTCATTATAGGTTTTCAATAAGTGTTACAATTATGAAGCGTATGAGCCGTTACGTATTTCCGATTTGTGTGGTCGTTACTTAAAAGAAATAACACACAATCAATGGAACACTGAAACTATTTTTTCATCAAACCTACAACGATGGCTTAGCAATAAATTGAATATAAAAGTTTCAGAATGTACAAGTGCACAAATTTTAATTAGTGTGTACAAAAATCGTCTACCAAAAGTCAACCAAACTTTAGACGATATATTGGATCCGACTTATAATGACAAATTAGTTCAAATTTTAGCATTTGAAAAATTTTTAACACTTATTGATAAAGATTATTGTTTTAACTCATGGAATTGATAATTTCCATCTATTTGTACATTATATTTGTAGGCAATGATTTTGATTAGATTTTTTTAATACATTTTTTACGATAAAAACAATAAAATTTTTATTAAAAAAAAATTATTAAATTATTTATTGAAGTTTATTTTATTCTTATTTTTAATTTTTATTAGAAACTTTTTATATTAGTTTGAATTATTGAAACTCACACAGATAATAATCTTCATGAAAATTTCTTTTTGACAACTGAATAAAGTTTAGAACTGAGACAGTGTAGTAAACTTAGACGGATATTATACCCGCAATGTAAATTTTGTTGTTACAAAGTACAGGAAATTAAACTCTGAGAGTAGAATGAGGTGAAAACTTTATCAAGTTGTACTGATATTATTTGATTGACAATGTAATATAAAGATTTTGTATAGATATGGATTTAAAATTTTATTGTATAATTTACTTTTATTAAAATTATTCAACATCTAAAAAATATTTTCATTAAGATGAAATCGTATTAAACAAACTAATTTAATGAAGCTGCATTTAATTTACATCTCCTTCATTTATTAAATTGGGTCATCTTATTACTTAATTACTTTAAGAAATGCATCATTTATTTTTGCATTTTAAATTAGTAGAAAATTTTTTTTTTTCATACTCATAAATTTTAATTTAAAAAAATTTCTTATTTACAAAATATTCATACTAAAGAAAAAAGTTAAATATTTTTGCACTTACAACTTCTCAAAATCCTGTATATGAAAAAATAAGGTCAAAAACAAAGTGTGTAATGAGCGTTAATGTAAATATACAAAGAGTAATACTTGAAGTTGAGGAGTAGTACGTGTATGAGGGTGTAGAAAAAAAAAAAAAAAAAAACTGAATAATAAAAGTAGAAAACGAGGAATAAGTGACAGGTAAAAAGCTCTAGTACAAAATTAAAACATCTCTCAAGACGCTCCAGTTCTTTTTTGATGTTCATCGCGCGATTGTAGTGCCTATGTATTAGCAACTAGATCGTAAACAGGTACAGGGGGTGGTGTATAATGCTAAAATCAGCTAGTATACCTATATCAGGAGTAAAATTCAAAAGGGATGTGATATGTATTTCATAGAGTTTTATTAAAATGACAAAACGAAAATGAAGACTGCCACCCGTTATGCAGATCGAAATGGGAAATGGCGAATATAGGTATAAGATTGGATGTAGGGCGACGTAGAATGACAAGAGAGTCCGAGTAGTTGGCGCTTCAGTCGAAGCTCGTAGGCTGGCTCGTTATTATAGTCGTACATACATATTTTTAGAATAATTTCACGATTTCGTCTTGCTCGGTTTCGGTCGGTGAATAAATGTGTGTTCATTTTTAAACTTTTTACACTAGTATTTATACAATTCATTTATTAATTTTTATGTTTATATTGTCATTGTAATAATAGCTATTCTAGTATATTTATAATAATATTGTACATATAAAAAGTAAAGGGTGAACGAACGATAACGATTGTGCGTGTAACATAACTAAGCATGGAGTTTTAGATTTATCCGAATAACAGGTGAGTTATTTTCATTTTTTATTAAAATTCATAATATGTATTTTTTAATAATCTAATGTAATTATTTTTAATAGATGATTTATCTCTAGGCAAATTTTTATTTTATATCTGTCAAAATTCACTCCTGTTTAAATTATATCAACAAAAAAATTGTTGTTTATACGTCACAGTGTTTCGGAAACTGGAGATTACACTTTGTACCATATGAAAATTATTCTTGTGTACAGGAAGTTTACTCACCTGCTGATTTTATTAGTAATTTATACTATTTTTTTAGTATTTACTTTAATGAGTTATAAGAATGTTTAGTAATAATATAAGTCTGGTAAGTCTTATATTGAGCGAGAACAAGTCTTGGAAATAGAATTGAGTATAATTGATGGATTTTTTTTAATAAAGAGTAAGCTACGTACATTTCAGGTTTATAATTAGTAATTAGTAAAGAAAAATTTTTATAGATATTTCTTTCCGGTACATAGATATGTATTTTATTAATTCTTGAATCGGTATTTTATATTTTATGTAATTTATTTATGATAATAAAGTTAGCAGACGTTTTTAATTTTTTGATTTTTTTTAATCATTAAATTGGAGCAAAAAAATATTTTTTAAAAATTGCACTTAGAGTTTTTCAAGTTTCTAACAAATGACAATTTTTTTTCTTTTTTTTTTTGCAGTCATTTCTTCAATAAAAAAAATTTTTTTAATTTTTAAATGTCGGCTAACTTAATTTTCATAATTTATTTATCTTTTTCTTAGCTAATTATAGCGTTAATAATTAATTACGTTAGTTGAATTTAATCAGTCAATTTATATTACGATAGAAATAATTTATCATTATAACAAATGCGTGTTGTATGTGCGTTGGCGTTACAGACAAAACGATGACATCCGCATGGTCATTATGACTTCTTGAATACATTAAATAAAAATAACTCGGTAATTAATTCAGTATTACCAAATATTTGTTTGTAAGGATACATTATAAATTTATAATAATATTTATCGAATTCGGGTTAAATCTATTTTATATCAGGTGATAAATATAAAATTTCAATAAACTTTTCTTTCCTATTGATAAATTTCAATGAATGAAAATACAAAAAAGTATTTGAATGGAATGAAATTAAAAAAGGTTTATGTATATTTAAACTGTTATTGTTGAGATTCAATAATATTAAATTTATCATGAGATTTTAATAGAATAAAAAGCTCCTCGTTGTTTTCTACTTTTATATCACCGAAGACTCCAGAATAAATAATCCTCCACTCGCAGTAATACTCTTTCGGTTGGTCTCTACTAACCTGGCCCCTTGGGGACACATAAATTTTGCGTAAAATTGACTGGAAGAAAAGGCATACATTAGCCCAAGGATCTGGTAAAATATAAATAATACATGATAGAGATGACTGAGAATCGTAAACATGAGCTAAGTTCACGGTGAAAGAAAATACACTCGATATTATTCATATAAAATATCAAAAAGATTTTGTATATTGATAAATTTTTATTTTATTTTTTTATCATTTATGAATAAAATTTTTTTATAAGTCATGTTATGAAGATGACCTTTTAAAAGAAATCATAGAAAACTAAAAAAATTTACAAATATATTGTTTAATTTTTAGCAATTTTGTATGGTAATTTTCAAAGTTAGTTTTAAATCTATTTATGATCATAACGAGCTCACGTCAGACTATTACACATGTAAATATATATTACGAGGTTGCACGTATCGCTTTTTAATAGAGTAGACTATTTGAGATGATGAGAAAAAATTCAATGCAAATGACTACCTATGAATATGTAATCTTAATTATCTTTTTTTTTTTTTTTTTTTTTTAAGTTATTGACAACTTATTTTATTACTTTTTTCTTTATGATCTGATTTTAGTATCAAAATTTTATAAATTTTTCTTTATTAAATGCATTATTTATAGAACTTACTCATAGACTTTTATCGTTGTTGAATCATTATTACATAAGACTGAATAGTTATTATTTTTTGTTGTAAATTTTAAACGAAGTACTTATTTCATTGGTATTCAATATAAGATTTTTAATTTATAAATATTTTTTTTTTCTGAACAATTTTTATATTTTTAGTTGAGATAAAAGAGTAATATTAAAATTATAAATATTTTCAAATATTTTTCATTATATTAGAAGCAAGATCAGTTAAGTTCTTCTTAATCTCCACCTATAAAGTTTATAAACCATAAATATGTATATTCTTTATCTACTTATGTTTATAATGACTATTATATTTGCTATAATAGTAACTTTTCCAACGTCGTTTTTCATAAACCACTATAGAACCAAACATTCTGATCTACCACTACAACAAAATTCAATTTATTTAAAACCTAGTTCAAATAATGATTATTCAGATGAAGAAGTTGTAATCGTACAAAATCTAAAACATGCCTCTACATCAAATGATGATTGGGAAACTCAGGAACATAACGAAGTTCCTGTTCCAATACCATCTATTTCTAGAGAGCCCGTACCAATAGAATTATTGAGTGAGCAATTAGTAAATTTAAATAACCTTGATACTAGCGCTAGTCCAGTTGTTGGAAAATTCAATGATAATTTTAAAAACATTATTAAAAATACAATGAAACAAAATATTCAATATCTTTTAAACGACAACAATTATGAAATACACTTATCTTATCCTGACGATTACGTTCAAGATATAGTTAATGTAATGGAGGAAAATGATGATAGTAGTAATTTTAAAGACTTGTGTAATTTCGGGATTAAGGTATTACAAATGCATATAACTTCTCAGAAGAAAAGAAAATTTTATATGAATTCATTAAAAAATATTATTAAAAAGATTAATAAAATAATTGTGCAGCAAAATAATATAAATATACCAGAAAAATCCGATTGGGATAATGCTCTTTTTCGCTCGCTAATTTTATTAGCAATGTATGAATACATGGGATACAACAATTTAAATAAATTATCCACTTGTCATAATGTGATAAACTCTATTATTCACAATTTGGATGAATCAGTTAAAATACCCTTTGATAAAGATATTCAATTTATATGTCTAACAATACCGATATTATTAACTGATTATTTGTATGACCGTCATAAATTTGATAACGAAATTAAAGAAGCCGTTGGCTATTTAAAAGAGACATTTGAGAAAGTTGATAATAAAAATAAATTCTACTACAGTTTATATGAAATATTCTCGAATGAATTGAATACATAGGAAATAATTATTGGATATTTAATTAACATTTTTTTTCTTTCAATTTCAGATTTCAACCATTCAAGCGATAATG